GACGGGAAAAATGAATTCCTCAAGTTTTTATCAAGAAATGTTGCTGGAGAAACCATCTGTTCCATTCTGGCCATCTGGTCCTACCAATGAAGCTCAAACAGAAGAAGGGTGATGCAACAGGAAAAACGACCCCAAAACCACAGAAGTAATCACAACAACAGAATGGCATCAACAGAAGAAAAATACGCCTTTCTGGAGTGGCCCCAGGTTCAGAGTCCTGACCTCAACCCAATTGGGAGGATGCTGTGGGCATGACCTCAAAGAGAGCGATTCACAACCAACATTTCCCAAAAAGATATTGCCTGAACTGAAAACAGTTTGTGTAAAGGAGGAATGGTCCCCAAAATTCCTCCTGACAATTGTGCAGGTCTTTTGATATGCAAACTATAGGAAACCTTAGGGTTATTGCTGCCAAAGGAAGGTCAAACCAGTGTATTAAATCCAAGGGTTCAACATACTTTTTTCCACCCTGCCACTGTGGAATGTTTACATGGTGGGTTCAATAAAAACATAAAAACATATAATTGTTTGTGTGGTTTTAGCTTAAGCAGACTGTGTTTGTCTATTGTTGTGACTTAGATGAAGATCAGAACACATTTTATGACCAATTTATGCAGAAATCCAGGTAGTTCCAAAGGGTTCACATACTTTTTCATGCAATTGTAATTGCTTAGGTTACACAACTGTGGCTGTCCCCACTGCTAGACAGGCATATTGATAAGATAATCAAATAATTACAAGTCTAACAACAGTGTGGTCTAATTCATCTTTGAAAGTAAAAAACAGATACTCCTGACCAGTGGCGGCCGGCCCATACGGGCGATAGGGGCGCCGCCCCCCCTCTTCCCACATGTTTGATTGTCATTAAAAATTCATAAAAAAATATATTTCCAAAAAATATTTTTATTTTATTTTTATTTTTAAAGAACAAGGTACATATGATTTAGCTGGTATCAGTAAAATGTATAATCTACAATAAAATCTCGTTTTAAAATTGTTCTACAATGTCGAAAGTTACTGATAAGTCACATGTTTTCCTGCCTTGCCCCTCTCTCGTCCGGGCGGTAGAAAGGAGCCCTCAGGCAGAGCAGCAGCAGCCAACAAGCTGACTTTTGCTATCTGTAAACTATGCCGCCGAAAGATAATTTCAGCCAATCAGCGTCGTCAGATCTGATGCTCAAAGGGCACCCTTTCAGCGC